AGCAGTGGAACTCTCTGCCCCGGAGTGTGGTGGAGACTTTTAAGCAGAGGCTGGATGGCCATCTGTTGGGTGTGCTTTGAATGCAATTTTCCTGCTTCTTGGCAGAAAGGGGTTGGATTGGATGGCGCTGTATGGGATGGCCTACCAGGTCTCTTCCAACTCTATGATTCTATGATTCTAAGTCCCACGGCTTCCCCAAACTAGAATCCAAGCAGAAGACTGCTTCGGGAGCTGGAGGCTCTATTCAGTCACGTTAACACCTGGGAAAGGAGACCGGTTTCAGAGCATGCAAAGAGTGCTCCCTCAACTAGCCTCCCCTTTATTTAGACTGCCTGAAAACAACCTGGCCTCATTGCTGTGTGCCTTTTATTATAACATTATTATTATTATTATTGCTATTATTATTATTTGAAACACAACAAGATGAGTCCACAGCAGACACTTTGCTGGCTGTTGTATTGGATCACACGTCGGACACTTCCCAAGTGTCTAGGACTGTGTGATGTATTATTATTATTATTATTGCTATTATTATTATTATTATTATTATGAAACACAACAAGATGAGTCCACAGCAGACACTTTGCTGGCTGTTGTATTGGATCACACTTCCCAAGTGTCTAGGACTGTGTGTTGTTGTATTATTATTATTATTCTTATTATTGCTATTATTATTATTATGAAACACAACAAGATGAGTCCACAGCAGACACTTTGCAGGCTGTTGTATTGGATCACACATCAGACACTTCCCAAGTGTCTAGGACTGTGTGATGTTGTATTATTATTATTATTATTATTATTATTTTGAAACACAAAAAGATTAGTACACAGCAAACAAGATCACTGTGCTGGCTGTTGTACCGGATCACACATCAGACACTTCCCAAGTTGTTGTTGTTTGGTACACAACAAGATTAGTACACAGCAAACAAGATAAGAGTGCCCACGAGCATGAGCAGAGTGCTCTTCCTAGCTATGTCCAGTTGCAGACTTCGCACATCTGGATTAGGGATTCCTGATATGTTAGGAACCCCTCCATTCTCTATTGTTGTTGTTGTTGTTAGATACACAACAAGATTAGTACACAGCAAACAAGATAAGAGTGCTCAAGAGCATGGACAGAGTGCTCTCCCTAGCTATATCCAGTTACAGACTTTGCACCATCTGGATTAAGGGTTCCTGGTACATTAGGAACCCCTCCATTCTCATTATTATTATTATTATTATTATTATTATTATTATTATTTGATACACAACAATATTAGTACACAGAAAACAAGATAAGAGTGCCCATGAGCATGCTAATAGTAGGAGCTCATCCCACTCCCCGGATTCGAACTTGCAACCTTTCGGTCAGCAAGTTCAGCAGCTCAGCAGTTTAACTCATTTCACTACCGGGGGCTCCTTGTTAATTATATAATTGGCACTGAATGTTTGCCATATGTGTGTTCTGTAAGCTGGCAGAAGCTGGGGCTAACAGTATGAGCTCACCCTGCTCCCCAGATTCGAACCTGCAACCTTTTGGTCAGCAAGTTCAGCAGCTCAGCAGTTTAACTCATTTCACTACCGGGGGCTCCTTGTTAATTATATAATTGGCACTGAATGTTTGCCATATGTGTGTTCTGTAAGCTGGCAGAAGCTGGGGCTAACAGTATGAGCTCACCCTGCTCCCCAGATTCGAACCTGCAACCTTTTGGTCAGCAAGTTCAGCTGCTCAGCAATTTAACTCATTGCACTACCGGGGGCTCCTTGTTAATTATACAATTGGCACTTAATGTTTGCCATATGTGTGTTCTGTAAGCTGGCAGAAGCTGGGGCTAACAGTAGGAGCTCATCCTACTCCCTGGATTTGAACCTGCAACCTTTTGGTCAGCAAGTTCAGCAGCTCAGCAGTTTAACTCATTTCACTACCGGGGGCTCCTTGTTAATTATATAATCGGCACTGAATGTTTGCCATATGTGTGTTCTGTAAGCTGGCAGAAGCTGGGGCTAACAGTGGGAGCTCACCCAACTCTGCTTCTTTGGTTGGCCTCTGAGGCTGAGAGAGTGTGATATCCCCCCCCCCTCCAAATCCCAGTAAGTGGGAAAGAGCCAAACGAAGGCACCCCTTCCCTCTTTCCTGGTCCCTTCTGCCCAAATAATCCCGATATGAGGGAAGGGAGGGAGGAAAACAAACCCCATGAAACATTAGGACGTGATAATTATCCCCAAGTATGTTACGCATACTCCCCTCCCCATCCCTAACCTGGAAAGTATTTGCTGCCAGGGACACCTCAAAGTGGGGAAAATGGGGGACGGTTCAGGTAGAGGAAGGGGCTTTCATCGCCTCCAAGGCCGTTTGGGGGGGTCTGAAAGCTAAAGAGGGAATTTGGGAAAATATTCCAGGCAGAGGGAATGGGATTGGGAGGGGCCGCCTTCCATCTCCACACATTTTCCTTCTTTTTTATTTGCAAAGGGGGGAGGTCTCCTGTAAAAATACCCCTCCCTCTGCATTTTTTCTCCAATTATCCTTGGGTTGCTTTGAATTTTCCATGCTGTCTGGCTATGTTCCAGAAGCATTCTCTCCTGACGTTTCGCCCACATCTATGGCAGGCAACATCAGAGGTTGTGAGGTCTGTTGGAAACTAGGGGAATGGGGTTTATATATCTGTGGAATGATGTCCAGGTTGGGAGAGAGAAAGAACTCATCACCTCCCAACAAAGGATTCCCCCAGGCAGTAAGAAGCCGGACCTTGAAGCTGCAAGGCCATTAAATGCTAATCAAGGTGGCCAATGAAACATTCACACCTACCTCAAAGAGACAAGAGGGTTTTTTTTCTCTCCTAGCATTTAATGGCCTTGCAGGAGGCGAAATATTGAGAGCAGGGCCACAGACAGCAAAACGAACAACAAAGGGGTGTTAACCCTTTCCTATGCAACCCAAAGCTCTCTCTCTCTCTCACACACACACATATATAGGCTTTGGGTAGCATAGGAAAGGGCTAAGACCCCTTTGTTGTTCATTTTGCTATATAGATAGATTAGATACACAGATAGGTAGACATATAGCTCTAGATAGATAGACTTACAAACAAATTTGACTTAAGATATATATAATCAGTCTATCATCTATTTATGTAGAGAGCTATCTATCTATATATCTATCTATCTATTAGAGAGAGCTATCTATCTATCTATCACGTATATCTATCTATCTATCTATCTATCTATCTATCTATCTAGAGCTATCTATCTGTCTAGAGCTACATGTCTATCTATCTATCTATCTATCTATCTATCTATCTATCTAGAGAGCTATCTATCATCTAGAGCTATATGTCTAACTATCTATGTATCTATGTAGAGAGAGCTGTCTTCTATCTATTTATTTATCATCTATCTATCTATCTATCTATCTATCTATCTATGTAGAGAGCTATCTATCATCTATCTATCTATCTATCTATCTATCTATCTAGAGAGCTATCTATCATCTATCTATCTCTATCTATCTATCACGTCTATCTATCTATCTATCTATCTATCTATCTATCTATCTATAGCTATCTATCTAGAGCTATATATCTATCTAGAGCTATCTATCATCTAGAGCTATATGTCTATCTATGTATCTATCTATGTAGAGAGAGCTATCTGTCTTCTATCTATCTATTTATCTATCTATCATGTATCTCTATCTATCTATCTATCTATCTATCTATCTATTTACCTACCTAGAGAGCTATCTATCTATCTATCTATCTATCTATCTATCTATCTATCTAGAGCTATATATCTATCTAGAGCTATATGTCTGTCTATCTGTCTATCTATCTATGTAGAGAGCTATCTATCATCTATCTATCTATCTATCTATCTATCTATCTATCTATCTATGTATCTATCTATCTATCTATCTATCTATCTAGAGCTATATGTCTCTCTATCTATGTATCTATGTAGAGAGAGCTATCTATCTATTTATCTATCTATCTATTATGTATCTCTATCTATCTATCTATCTATCTATCTATCTATCTATCTATCTATCATCTATCATCTATCTATCTATCTATCTATCTATCATCTATCTATCCAGAGCTATATGTCTGTCTGTCTATCTATCTATCTATCTATCTATCTATCTATCTATCTATCGAGACTATCTGTCTATCATCTATCTATCTATCCATCCATCCATCCATCCATCCATCCATCCATCCATCCATCCATCCACTTATCTATCGAGAGCTGTTTATCATCTATCTATCTATCTATCTATCTATCTATCTATCTATCTATCTATCATCTATCTATGTAGAGAGAGCTCTTTATAATCTATTTCTCTCTCTCTAGAGAGAGAGCAATTGGTCTATCATCTATCTATCTATCTATCTATCTATCTATCTATCTATCTATCTATGTAGCGATAACTCTTTATCATCTATTTATCCATCTAGAGAGAGCTACCTATAATCTATCTATCTATCTGTCTATGAATCGAGAGAGAGCTTTGGAAAGGGTCAACACCCCTGTGGTGTTGGTTTTGCTGGGGATTCCAAAATGTACCTGTTCCGACTTACATACAAATTCGACTTAAGATATATATATAGAGAGAGAGAGAGAGAGCGACCATTCCAAAATGTACCTGTTCCAACTTACATAGAAATTCGACAAGATATATATAAGATATATATATATATACACAGTGACCCTTCCAAAATGTACCTGTCCCGACTTACATACAAATTCGACTTAAGAACAGCCCCACAGAACTGCCTGTATTTGTTTTCCTGGCTAATCCCGAAAGGTTCTGAGAGCTAAAGGTAGGAAGCCCTAAGCCTGGGCTCTGCCGACTCTTTGGCATGGCTCTGACTCCAAGAGAACAAAGGAGAGCATCCCAGTTGTGCCGGGTTCCCAAGCTCCCATCCTGAGGATGCCTCTCCAGAGTGGGTGGGAAGGAGGGAAGGGAGGAAGGGTCTCTCTCCGGCATCCCCCCTTGTGTGGGGGGCACTCACCCAGCGCCTTGAGCAGCTCCTCGAAGTTCTCTGAGCTCTTCATCTTCCAGTGGCCGGTGAAGTTGATGGGCATGGCGGCGGCAGGTGTGGATGTTGGGGTGGGTGGGAAGGAAAAGGGAAAGGAAGGAAGGAGCCGGCCGAGCCCCGCAAGCGCTGAGTGCCGGGCTCCAGGCTCAGCTCCACTCCTCTTGGCCTCCCTCCCTCAGGCCCCGCCCCTGGCCACGCCCCCTGGAGCCCTGGCCCCGCCCACCCACGCGCCAGACTCAGGCACCAGTGGGCAGCCCTCCCACTTGCCTAAGATCACCTTGCAGGGCTTGGAGCATCCCCAAAGGACTCCTTGGATTCCCTCTCTCATCCTTTCCCAGGGTCACAAATAGCAGCCTTTTTGGTTAGTTCTTAACGCCTCCTGGCAGATGGCCATCCAGCTTCTGAATCATACCATCCTAAAGTTGGTAGGGAACCCCAAAGGCCATCCAATCCCACCCCATTCTGCCAGGCAGGAAGGCACAATCAAAGCCCTCCCGGTAGATGGGAATCCAGCCTCTGAATCCTAGAATTGGTAGGGAACTCCAAAGGCCATCCAGCCCAACCCCCTTCTGCCATTGCAGGGAGACACAACTAAAGCCCTCCCGACAGATGGCCATCCAGCGTCTGAATCATACCATCCTAGAGTTGGTAGGGAATCCCAAAGGCCATCCAGTCCAACCCCATTCTGCCAGGCAGGACGGCACAATCAAAGCCCTGCCGGTAGATGGGTATCCAGTCTCTGAATCATACCATCCTAGAGTTGGTAGGAAACCCCAAAGGCCATCCAGTCCAACCCCATTCTGCCATTGCAGGGGGACACAGTCAAAGCCCTCCCAACGATGGCCATCCAGCCTCTGAATCATAGAATCCTAGAGTTGGTAGGGAACCCCAAAGGCCATCCAGTCCAACCCCATTCTGCTATTGCAGTGAGACACAATCAAATCCCGCCCATCAGATGGCCATCCAGTCCAACCCCATTCTGCCATTGCAGGGAGACACAATGAAAGCCCTCCCGGCAGATGGCCATCTAGCCCGGAGTAGTAGAATCCTAATGGTGGTAGGGTACCTCAAAGGCCATCCAGTCCAACCCCATTCTGCCATTGCAGGGAGACAATCAAATACCACCCGGCAGATAGCCATCCAGTTGAACCCCATTCTGCCATTGCAGGAAGGCACAATCAAAGCCCTCCCGGTAGATGGGTACCCAGTCTCTGAATCCTAGAGTTGGTAGGGAACCCCAAAGGCCATCCAGCCCAACCCCATTCTTCCATTGTAGGGAGACACAATCAAAGCCCTCCCAACAGATGGCCATCCAGTGTCTGAATCATACAATCCTAGAGTTGGTAAAGAACCCCAAAGGCCATCCAGTCCAACTCCATTTTTCCATTGCAGGGAGACACAATCAAATCCCGCCTGGCAGATGGACATCCAGTTCAACCCCATTCTGCCGTTGCAGGGAGACACAATCAAAGCACTCCCGACAATGGCCATCCAGTCTCTGAATCATAGAATCCTAGATTTGGAAGGGAATCCCAAAGGCCATCCAGTCCAACCCCATTCTGCCATTGCAGGGAGACACAATCAAAGCACTCCCGACGATGGCCATCTAGCCTCTGAGGCTGGATGACCATCTGTCAGGAGGGCTTTGATTGTATCTTCTTGCCTGGCAGAAGGGGGTTGAACTTGGTGGCCCTTAGAGTCTCTTCCAACTCTAGGAGGCTAGATGGCCATCTGTCAAGAGGGCTTTGATTGAGTCTTCCTGTCTGGCAGAAGGGGGTTGAACTGGGTGGCCCTTGGGGTCTCTTCCAACTCTAGGAGTCTAGGATTCAGAGGCTGGAGGGCCATCTGTCAGGAGGGCTTTGATTGTTTCTCCCTGCAATGACAGAATGGGGTTCAACTGGATGGCCTTTGAGGTCTCTTCCAATTCTAGGAGTCTATGATTCAGAGTCTGGAGAGCCATCTGTCAGGAGGGCTTTGATTGTGTCTTCCTGCCTGGCAGAATGGGGTTGAGCTGGATGGCCTTTTGGGTTATCTACCAACTCTAGGATTCTATGATTCAGAGGCTGGATAGCCGTCTGCCGGGAGGGCTTTGATCCCTGCAATGGCAGAATGGGGTTGGACTGGATGGCCTTTGAGGTACCCTACCAATGTTAGGATTCTGTTACTCAGGGCTGGATGGCCATCTGCCGGGAGGACTTTGAGTGTCTCTCCCTGCAATGGCAAATGGGGTGGGACTGGATGGCCTTTGGGGTACCCTACCAACTTTAGGATTCTATTACTCAGGACTGGTTGGCCATCTGCCGGGAGGGCTTTGATTGTGTCTCCCTGCAATGGCAGAATGGGGTTCGACTGGATAGCCTTTGGGGTTCCTACCAATTCTAGGAGTCTGATTCAAAGGATGGATGGCCATCTGTCAGGAGGGCTTTGATTGTGTCTTCCTCCCTGGCAGAATGGGGTTGGACTGGATGGCCCTTGGAGTCCCCTCCAACTCTGGGATTGTATCATTCCATGAAATGGGTCCAGTCCTCAAACACCGAGAGGAGGGAGACGTATGACTGGGTGGGTCATTTCCAAGGGCTCCTGGCCAAAGCCTCTTGGGTGGCCATCCAGACCGGACTTGAGGTCCTTCCTCAGAAAAGAGAGAGGGAGGGAAGGGGAACATCCCTCCTTCAGCAGCAGCCAAGTTGATTTTGGCTCCTACCTTGGAGCAAAGTAAGAAGATGAATAGCCAAGGCCAGGAGTTAAAGAGAGGGGGGATGTGGGGGAACTGGTTCCCAGTCCATAGCAAGACGGGGTCTCCTTGCCCCAAACCCCATTGCACCCCCAAAAGTGGAGGACAAAGACAAACGTCACATATGTGTGGTGTGAAAGTGTGCAAGCGAGTCCAGAAATGGAGGAAAGAGGAGATGACGGAGGCACACCCACCCTCTTTGCTTCGCCATCGGCCTGTCAAGAGGCCTCCATAAGCCATGCATGAATGGGCAATTGGGGAGACAGACCCCTTCGCATCCCCCCTAATCCGGCAGGAATGAGAGGTGTGAAAGACCGAGGGGGGTGAGTGTGGGGGGGGGTTGGTTCAAATTACAGGGAAAGGTATTCCTCCTAAACAATAGGCAAAATGTATTGTCAAAGGCTTTCATGGCTTGTTGTGTGTTTTCCAGGCTGTCTGGCTATATTCCAGAAGCATTCTCTCCTGACGTTTCACCCACATCTATGGCAGGCATCCTCAGAGGTTGTGAGGTCTGTTGGAAACTAGGCAACTTGGGTTGATATATCTGTGGAATCATGTCCAGGGTGAAGGAAAGAAGTATTGTCCGTGAATATTGCAACTGGCCAGCTTGATTAGCATTGAATAGCCTTGCAGCTTCAAAGCCTGGCCTGCATCAATAGGAGCATAGTGTCTAGATCCAGGGAAGTAATGCTACCCCTCTATTCTGTTTTGGTTAGACCACACCTGGAATATTGTGTCCAATTCTGGGCACCACAATTCAAGAGAGATATTGACAAGCTGGAATGTGTCCAGAGGAGAGCGACTCAAATGATCAAGGGTCTGGAGAACAAGCCCTATGAGGAGCGGCTTAAAGAGCTGGGCATGTTTAACCTGAAGAAAAGAAGGCTGAGAGGAGATATGATAGCCATGTAGAAATATGTGAGAGGAAGTCACAAGGAGGAGGGAGCAAGCTTGTTTTCTGCTTCCTTGGAGACTAGGACGCAATGGAACAATGGCTTCAAACTACAAGAGAGGAGATTCCATCTGAACATGAGGAAGAACTTCCTGACTGTGAGAGCCGTTCAGCAGTGGAACTCTCTGCCCCGGAGTGTGGTGGAGGCTCCTTCTTTGGAGGCTTTTAAACAGAGGCTGGGTGGCCATCTGTCAGGGGTGATTTGAATGCAATATTCCTGCTTCTTGGCAGGGGGTTGGACTGGATGGCCCATGAGGTCTCTTCCAACTCTTTGATTCTATGATTCTATTATTCCTGCCTGGGGGAGTTCTTTGTCGGGAGGTGTTAGCTGCCATAGCAGAGCACCTGATGACCCAACCTGGACACAGCATATTGTTTGAGAACACAGAAATGCTGGACCACTCACATCTAATCGCCTCCCAACAAAGGGTTCCCCCAGGCAGTAAGACGCCAGACCGTGAAACTGCAAGGCCATTAAATGCTAATCAAGGTGGCCAATTGAAACATTACAGAGAAGAGTTATTTTTCTCTCACCCTGGACATTTTACAGATATATAAACCCTGTTTACCTAGTTTCCAACAAACCTCACAATCTCTGTTACAGCCTAGCCTCTGAGGATGCCTGCCATAGATGTGAGAGAAACATCAGGAGAGAATGCTTCTGGAACATGGCCAGACAGCCTGGAAAACTCACAACACCCCAGTGATTCCAACCATGAAAGCCTTCGACAAGAGACCTCACAACCTCTGAGGATGCCTGCCATATATGTGGGAGAAACGTCAGGAGAGAATGCTTCTGGAAAATGGCCAGATAGCCCGGAAAACTTAGAACAACTCAGTAATTCCGGCCATGAAAGCGTTCAACAACAGATCTCACAACCTCTGCGGACGCCTGCCATAGATGCAGGTGAAACGTCAGGAGAGAATGCTTCTGGAACGTGGCCATACATCCCAAAAAACTTACAGCAATCCAGTAATTCTGGCCATGAAAGCTTTCAACAACAGACCTCACAAGCTCTGAAGTTGGCTGCCATAGATGCAGGTGAAATATCAGGTGAGAATGCTTCTGGAACATGGCCAAACAGCCTGGAAAACTCACAGCCACTCAGTGAGTGACTACAACTCCCAAATGTCAAGGTCTATTTCCCCCAAACTCTATCTGTGTTCATATTTGGCGTATTGAGTGCTTCCTCCAGGTTTGGTCCAGATCCATCATTGAGTCCACAGTGCTCTCTGGATGTAGGTGAACTACAACTCCCAAACTCAAGGTCAATGCCCACCAAACCCTTCCAGCATTTTCTGTTGGTCAAGGGAGTGCTGTGTGCCAAGTTTGGTTCAATTCCCTCATTGGTGGAGTTGAAAGCCTTCGACAACAGACCTCACAACCTCTGAGGATGCCTGCCATAGATGCAGGTGAAACATCAGGAGAGAATGCTTCTGGAACATGGCCAGACAGCCTGGAAAACTCACAGCAACCCAATAGGCAAAATAATAATA